AGAGACAGGGTTTTCACCATATTGGCCAGGCTGGTCTTGAACTCCTAACCCCTGGTGATCCACTTTTCTTGGCCTCCCAAAGTGCTGGGATTACAGACATGAGCCACTGCACTCAGCCTTTCTAGCTTTTTTTCCTTCCCTGCCAAAAGGTCAGATACCTAAGAACTGTTTCCTTGCTCCAGTGGAAGGTGCTTTTCCTCGGTGCCTAAGAGCACGTTTTTGGCATTGAAACCAAACACTTTTATACCACAAAAGAAAGGAGGAGGAATAGAATACAGCTGTCACTTACCAGTGTGTCTAAGTCTTATTGCTATCTCAGTTAATCTACTTTGAACACTTAAAAACCAAAGTGCCATTCTCCAAGTTTCAGCTTGCACTAAGTAAGTCTTACCCACAAGGAAAATACTTTACTTTCATTTCTCTTAATTCAAGATATCTTTCTTCATTTTCGAAGTATTGTATTATAAAAATATATCCTTATAGTTAAAAAGACATGATGGGTATCAAAAATATCAGTATGTTTGTATAATTAAATTTTTGTGCTGGTTTTGTACAATCAAAAACCAGTATTTTTGGGCCGGGTGCAGTGCCTCGTGCCTGTAATCCCAGCACTTTGGGAGGCCGAGGCCAGCAGATCACCTGGGGTCATGAGTTCAAGACCAGCTTGCCCAACGTGGTGAAACCCTGTCTCTACTAAAAATACAAAAATGAGCTGGGCCTGATGGCGGGCGCCTGTAGTCCCAGCTACTTGGGAGGCTGAGGCAGGAGAATTGCTAGAACCCAGGAGGCAGAGGTTGCAGTGAGCTGAGATTACGCCATTGCACTCCAGCCTGGGCGACCAGCGAAACTGCATCTCAAAAAACAAAACAAAACAAAACCACCAGTATTTTTGTACAATTAAAAAAAAAGCCCACTTTCAGATGAAAACCTCAGGTATAAAAGTACAAGATAACGATGAACTCTGAAGGCCAACATAATTCACACACTAGACTTCTTTTTTAAAAAAATCACAATTGGATGCTAATTGGGATGTGTTTGATGAAATCAGTGCCTAGCGAGTAGCGGGTAGGTCCGACAGCAGGAACAGGGCAGCAGCACACTCCTGCATGCTGGCTGGAATGGCCTCGCCGCCATCTCTTGTGTCAGACACCTGGCCATGCGTGAGGGAAAGGAGTGCCTTTCTGATCGTCCTGCATAAATGGAGAGGCCCAAAACCAAGAGTCATTTCTCCCACAGAGAAAAGGGCTTTTTCTTAAAGTTTTACCAGTCTGAAAGGGATTGTTTGATAACTAACATTAGTGAACAGAGACTGAAGAAAGTGAAACAAACTCATTGTGCTTAATACTCTATTTCTAAACTTATAAAACAAAAATATAACAGAATGATCTGTAGAGGCAAGAGATAGCAACAGTCATTGGAAGTGGCCTCTTGGATCCTTACATTTGTCTCTGTTTATCCAAAGAGCTGCAGCGCTGGCGTAAGTGGTGTTGACCTGGACATCACTTAAAGTTCTGGAACAGCAAAGAGCGTACGGTGGAGACGACTGCAATACATACTTAACAATTTAAAAATGTGTAATATGTGGGACAGGGAGAGGGAGTCAAAAAAAAAATAAAGAATAAAATTATTGGAATCTAAAATAATGATACAGGAAGTAAATGTATTATTAATGTAGACAGATCTGGTTCTGTCTGGATGTTCTTGGCTTGCTGTCAAGAGCAACTGAGAATTAGAGAAAAACTAGTTTTGTTTAATCATAAAGTTATAATTCAAGGAGATGTGAAGATGACAAAGTTCATCATTAAAATTAAAAAGTTATTTCTCAGTAAAAACCTGGTATCTCATTACCATTCATCTATATGAGATACCAGACTACTACCTATATGTTGATACAGGAGAGTATCTGAATTGGCAGAAAATAAGCCCACATCAGGCCCTTCCCCTTAGGGTCTCTGGGGCCCTTGACCAGATCTTGATAGGTGCGAGAAACACAGGAGCTAAGGATGGGCATTCGAGTTGCAGGTAAGCCTCCGCAAAAAACCTTACAAATATTTTTAAGATGATTTTTAAAATAGCACACTAACTATAATGTTAAATCACATTTTATACATCTTAATTGAGTATAATAGTGACCAGGTGGCTAACTTATCATCTCTTCCTGGAAACTTTTCAGAATCCCACCCCTATCCCTTTCTCAAGAGTTTCTGTGTATTACTGCGAAATTCCTCTCAATTTGTTAGGATTGTTTTTGGCTGGTGGATTTTCTGTGTTTCTTCATCTCATCAAACTATTCAGTGTCTGATTTTTTGACTTCCGCTTTGGCCCATAGAGAGTAACTTGGATACTTACAGGTAGAAAAAGCTTTGAGGAAATTTAGGCAGCATCAATGGATAAGTGTTTCCCCAACCTCCTTTCTAACATAGAGGGTTAGTTGTATATCACACGCATACACCCCTCTGCCTCAGCTTTGCTTGTGGTATCCTTATCCCAAAATACATGAGGTCAGTTCCTCTTATGTCCCAGCTCTTTTAAAACTACAGGAATGCCGGGTGCAGTGGCTCACGCTTGTAATCCCAGCACTTTGGGAGGCCAAGGCGGGTGGATCATGAGGTCAAGAGTTCAGGATCAGCCTGTGCAACGTGGTGAAACCCATCTCTACAGAAAAACGTAAAAAGTCGCCAAGCTCAGTGGCACATGCCTGTAGTCGCAGCTGCTCAGGAGGCTGAGGCGAGAGAATCCCTTGAGCCCCGGAGGCAGAGGCTGCAGTCAGCTGAGATTATGCCATTGCATTCCAGCCTGGGTGATGGAAGTGTCTCAAAAATCCCAAAAAACCTACAGGAAAGCCACAGCTAGCCTATGTTGACTTGTACGTTGTTTCTCTCTCTTCTCAAAGCTGGAATGCTGGGGCTACTTTTTACCTACCTTTTCTATTCCCAGTCCCCTGCTCTTTTCCATCCCTAATGGGAGTAATTTAATTATGCAACAAATTCTCATAGTTAAGGTATTCGGCAATATATCCCTGTATCCTAGAATTCTCTGTAAGGAAAAAAGTTGTGGTTGAGGGAAAGAGTTCTACATTCAGTTATTTTAGTTTAATATTACTAAGAACTTCATTGGAGCCCAGAACAATCTTCCCTGCTGAAAGCTTTGTGCCCATTCTCTGTGAGTGCTCTTTAGGAGAGATGCTTAATGATTCTCTCCACACCTCCGCCTGCGTGCTTACTCAAGACCAGGAGCTCTTGAGGTGAGAAGGTAGATGAGAATGACCTTCAATAATATCCTCTTTCCCAGTCCCCCAGTTCCCTCGAGCAGGGGCAGCAGACCACCGTGACCCAGAGACCAAAGCCACCCACTGCCTTGTTTTTGTACGTAGTCAAAACAAGCCCTGCTCATTTGGTTAGGTGCTGTCCATGGCTGTTTCACGTGACAACAGCAAAGTCGAGTAGTTGCGACAGAAACCATATGCCCTGAAAAGCTGAAAATATTTACTATCTGGCCTTTACAGAAAAATTGTGCCGACCCCTGCCCTGGAAGAGAACAGTACCTCCGTGTGTTGGTGTGGCGAAGACGACTGGAGATTGCCGCTCTAAAACGTGTTTGGATTAGGAAGCACATTTAAGTAGGAGAAGCCTGTTGTGACTTGTCTCTAGTGCCTTCATGCCCTGTGTTGCCCACTGAATTGCCCTGTAACACCTAAGTGTAGTGGTAGCATAAAGGGATAGCTTGTCACCCCTCAAGGTTATCAGGAACATTTGTATCACTGCTATAAATGAAGTAGTATCACTTGTCATAATCAGAATGCTAAAACATAATGAAAAAGTTTAACTTAGTCACAGTAAATATTTTATATCCCTGAAAATAAGTTCCTTAAAGAGAATAGAACTATTTAATGATCCATCAGTCCTAAAAGGAGATCTGCCTTGTATTGCCAAGTTTAAGGCAAAGGTGAGATCCTGTATTAATAAGAAGACGGCTTTTTTGGTTGACATTGTTAAGTACTAAGAATTGTAACTCACATATAGTAGGAAACAAAAAAAAACTCCCCGCTGACTTCTTTGAATTAGGTACTGAGAATCCACAAGTAAAGTAGTGTGGGTAACTTTCAAGAAGCCATTGGAAAGTCTCCACATTCTGGAATTACTTGTAAATGTCTACAGAGTAATGGAAGGAAAGGCTTCCTTATCTGCTCATTGCTGCCATCTGGGTTGGGAAAATAAGTGAAGATGTTTCATCAAGTCCTTCAAGAATCTCTTCTTAATGTTCAGAATAGTTTAAGAGCATTGTTGAGTTAAACCGATAGCTGATTGATTATTTTCTGAGATTTAGATCTAAACAAACTCAGCATGATCAGGAAGCACTCCTCACAGCTCCAGGGTGCAATACTGATGTCAACTTGTCTTGTGAGGATACATTTTTCGCTCATATATGTAAAATTGCTATAAGTTCATTTGCACAGCCAGTTCCAATCATGTATGTGGTCATCAGATTAAAAGCTTCATCTAGAAAGACAAGACTCTTCAGAACAAATAGCGGACAAGTCCACGCTTCAGGTGTGAGATAGAGTAACTACTCATCTCTTCACAGAGCCAAGGAAAAACGCTCTAACATGATTTACCATTTTAAACAGCCTTATAAATTTTGTCTCTTAAAATCATGCTCCAGGCTGGGCGTGGTGGCTCATGCCTGTAAATTCCAGCACTTTGGGAGGCCGAGGCGGGCGGATCACTTGAGGTCAGGAGTTCAAGACCAGCCTGGCCAACATGATGAAACCCTGTCTCTACTAAAAATACAAAAATTGGCCAGCTATGGTGGCAGGTGCCTGTAATCCAAGCTACTCGGGAGGCTGAGGCAGGAGAATCGCCTAAACCCAGGAGACAGAAGTTTCTGAGCCAAGATCATGCCACTGCACTCCAACCTGGGCAACAGAGCCAGACTCTGTCTCAAAAAAAAGTAAATAAAATAAAATCATGCTCCAGAAGGAGAGGGGGTAAAAGTCGTGTTCTGCCCAGTCTGTGGCATTGGTGAGAGCCCCACTAGGTAAGAAGCAATGCTTAAATCTTGCTTCCAGGCAGCAGCTTGAATTCCCGAATCTTCCTGCAAGGTGCATACAAATGGAGCATGAGAATCCATACACATAATCCATATTCACCTTCCCATCCATCCTGCAGAAGAGGCATGGTGACACCCAGGCTACTCTCCATGCTTGAGAGGACGTATTAGAAGATACTGTTACTAAAAGTTGGAAATACTCAAGGGCATGCTTGAACACCCCGGTTGTAACTCACACGTGGTCTGTATAAGTGGACTAACCTCAGGGCGGCCTCGTTTAATCCTGAATAATAATATCTGAAAGACTGAGTTTACTTGGGAACGTGTAGTTTTTCTAATGCACATTAAAATTTATTTTAGCTGTTAAAAATAAAATCATTTTATTATCAGCAGACTCTTTTATGCTTTATGGGGCATCTACATACTACTACTGCCACTCTTCATAATAAAAATATTTGTAAAATATAAAAAATACTCCCCTGAGCTGATCATCTGCCTCTTCTAGAGCCTCACCTGTGGAATGGGTGGGTGTGTCCCTGAGTAAGTTATCCAGTTTACTGGAGCCTCCTTTGTACTGTAATTTGGGGATAATTATTCCTACTTTGTAGACATTTAGTGAGATTAGAAGTCTTATGTGTGTTAACTCCAGCAACATCTGTGATGGTAGGAACTGATTGACAGCAGCTGTTCTAAAGCCTGTAGTATGTGCCATCATACTACATACAAATTCCAACCTTGAACGGAGGAAGAGAGGCCCTACTACAATCCACACACAGATCCAGCCAGCATCTGGGGCTTGCTTTGTGCCGAGTGCCATGCAAGGTTTTTTGCATGTGTTTTCTCCTTTTAGATTCAAACAGTCCTGTGACAAAGGTGCTATCCTGCTCATTTTCCAAAAAGAAAACGGGCTTGAGGTAGAGTGATTTGCCTACGTAACTCTGTGCTGTTCATCACATAGCAGCCCCATTGGTTTGAACTGGCATTCAACCCCCCAAAACCTGACTTCTGGGCTCCATTCTTTTAGACTGCCCTAACTGGGGACTCCAGCTCCAGGCAGGCCAGGCACCTGTCTCTTTACCAAGGTGGGGGTCTAGTTCTTCCTGACACATCACATTGCACTTCTCCATTTCTCCAAAAGGCTCAGCACAGCTGCTACCTCTCCTGTCCCAGTGGATTCAGTTGCCTTGGTATTGGCCTTTCATTATGGCATTAAAAGATAGCAATACTGTTGAATGTTACATGTCACTACCTTACCTCCCCAGGATAAGCCTATTTTGTACCATCTACTCCATAATACTCCACACATAAGGCACAGAATATATTCTTAGATTTAAATAAGCCATACAGGGAAGCAGCTGTCATGCTAAAGAAAACCATTTGAGTTAATTGCCAGTTAGTAGCAGCAGCTGAGGCCATATGCAGAGGAATTGCCACGTGCAACCCAGAACTGTTGGTAGGAGCTGAGCAAAGTATAATGATCGTAGATTTCCCATAGACTCGAACTTTTGGTTTTTATGTACATTTTGCTCCCGTTTCATGGATAACTCATTCCTGCCAATCTGCCTCCAATCCTGTTGTATTTTTAGTAGCTC